GCCTGTGATTAGGATGATGATGAAAATATAATGACTGTCTCTTATACACATCTAGATGTGTATAAGAGACAGTTCCGAGGTGATATAATTATTATAAGCATAACTGTAATAGATCCTACTCCACTCTACTACTACTCTGTGCAAGCGAAGGACTGTACTGCCGGCCACAATATAGCGGGCGTCCTACATCATTTTAAGCAGGTCATGACGCAGAGACGATAGCAACACGATACGAATGAATTATTTCACTCTTTGTTATTAAATTTTTAAAACATAATTTCATAAAGCTCCGTGTGCTTCCATTAGAATGTGTGAATAAAAATACACAGCTGCCTAATTGCTCATCCATTCTAAATACTTTTTTTTTTTTAATTACTTGATTAATATTGTCGTTTTTATGTGGGCGTTTCAGTCAAATAACTGTGAATCATTTTATTAAAAAAAAAAAAAAAAGGTGAATCACTTTATTAAAAAAAAAAAAAACACTTAAACAGTATAATTTGTAAACTGCTACAACACTTCTGTGCCTACTGTACAGATTGTTGGTGTTCTTAGTGTGGGATCGAACTGCAACCAATCTGCAAAACTGTATCTCATTTCAAAAACACACACAATTTTCGAAAACATCCAGTAATTGAGAGCACAAGAACGGTCTTTGCGAAAACCAAATTGTTTATTACTGAAAATTATTGCTTTCTAGAAATTCAAGTATTTCTTTCCTAATGATTTTTTCAATATTCTGAACAACTGAAGTTAAATTCACAGCCTGTAATTGCCTGGATCAGTTTACTATAAATCCCTTTTTAAATATCGGTACCACTTTGGCATGTTTCTAACTGCAGATACTAGCCTACACCTTAATTAAACGGGCTAGTAAACATAATATTGAGGAGATAACAAATAATATCTGTATGTTCTATTAAGTTAGGTGGATTGATACCATTAGATCTAGCATCCTTATTTGTATTCAAATTATATTGATTCAATTGGGAAATCAACATGCGTTAATAAATGATCCGTTATTAAAATGGTGTCGATCGTTGGTAAATTGAAATATCCTCATTAACAAATACACTAATCAAAAAAGCATTTAAAACCCTGCTATTTCTTTATCTGTAGACGCATGTTGACCATTGAAATCAATAATTAACATATGATGATGATGATGATGATGATGATGGTGATGATGATGATGATGATGATGATGATGATGATGATTAGACTATGAATGGTGATGTTGAACAGGGGCGGATTTAGGGGGCCTGGCCGGCCACGCCCCCACTTTTTTTTTTGGAAGGTTAAAAAAAAAGAAAAGAAAAGAAACAAAGAAAGAAAGAAAAAGAAATAAATAATCGCCCCAAACACCTCAGATGTTATTTTTGCGCTTCTAGAACACAAAAGTTTCGCGGGGGCATGCCCCTGGACCCCTATGGTAGTATTATCTCGATCGGCCCCACTTTCAGCCCCACCCCCTTTTGGACATCTCTGGATCCGCCCCTGGTGACTATGCCTGTGATTAGGATGATGATGAAGATATAATGATGATTAAGATGGTGATTATGATGGTGATTAAGATGATAATGATGATAATTATCATGTGATTAGGCCTAGGATGTGATGATAGGCTGTATGATGACGATTGGATATACGTCTTCACTTTTTGTGAGGGAAAGTTCATTTCATTATATTATTACACATCACTTAAACTACAGCTACATTCAAACATTAAATGCAATTGATAGTGAAAATTCATTTTAAAATCATTCTTAATAAAGTTATTGATAATCGCAATATAATTAATAATGAATTTACAATTTAAAAATGATTATACAGTAGCAGGAATTTTGTTTTTGATCTACCCCATGGCGCGAATGTAGCCGACCCAATGAACCAAGAGAAGCATAAGTCGTGACAGTAAGCGCCGCAAGGTGTGGACTCCAACCAGTATTATGCCGAATAGGAAACGCAGAACTTACTGCATTAGCGCAGACTGGTAGCCGTATGAAACCGGGATAAATGTCATCAACATATAGGTCCAAAATAATGTTTTGAATCAGAAGAAGATTGAAAATAAACGCCGCGAAATTGTCATTTTTACGAGAACCTGCATTTGCCCCGATGAACTTAATGGTAGGTCCAAATACTTTCTTTAATGTACGCTAACCTTGCAAGAAAACATATGAGATTGTTCTTCCGGGAAAATAGTGTTAAAAGTACTGTAGAATGGCCCGGATCGTTTTAAGTACATGGATATAGTCTCAGTGCGAATGGATCTAAACGCACCAATGTGTTACAGTAGCCTAACTACTACACAGGCCTTATGTTATGAACGGGTGAGTATGCGAAAAATGCTGACGTTAAGTCCTGAATGAAACAGCCGCTTTAAAACAAACCACCAATATCATTTCCGTGACATGAGCTTATTCGTACCTTGTTTGATAAGATTTCTTATTATTTTTTTTTAAATGTATTATACTTGTCATATGTTATCAAGTTGATTTGCGAATATTCGTCATCCTAGGCCTATAGTTTTAGAAATAGGACTACAAGTATAGTGGTCAGGGCACGGGCGCGTGCGACCGAGACACTGTCTATGACTCTACATGTTTTTATAAGCTCAGTTACTTAAACAGACTAGCGGTTGTTTATTGTTTCTGATTAAGTTGACAGAACGAACAGTGTCAAACGCAAAAAAAAAAATAATAATAATAAAAAAAAAAGAAAAGCGGAAGCACACCAGAACGGTACCGTAACTAGTTTAGTATAGGCACATATGGTCTGTAGTATAGATTTGTTGAAGTACCAAATAATGACATCGTTATTATTTTATTACTCCCGATTGTCATTCCGCCTGGTTTTCCGTTTTTCTATTATTAATTCCAATTCAGATCATCTCTATCTACAGAAGTTTTATTTGTAAACTTTTTTTTTACACGGTTTTAACATTTTGCCTATCTTTAGCAGGATTAGGAGCTACCGTAGCCTTGTGTAACATACATAAATAATTGATGATTATGTAAAGGTTTCTCCCTGCTGTATATAATCAAAATTATAGGATTCCTCAGGAGGTGGGAATCAACTTGCGTTCTTCTCTGCCAGGGGCGAATCACTAGCTCCCGTCAGTCAGAACAGAACGCAGGTTGATTTGGAACTGAGGAGGAAGATGAAGTATACTGCAGTTATAGGCATATATCTTTATTTTGAATCGGCCTATTCTGTTTATTATCAATTGCTCTGTTATTGTAGCCTATATTTTTTGTGGTTATGATTGATTTCATTGATCACACAGTACTACATTTACTAGATCAGGCATAGCTGTATATTTTTGTTTAATGTGTTTTTAAATATGGATTCATCTCCATTTTATGTATGATTAATATTTCTCAAACAACGTGTGAGGTATGCGATAACCGGTAGGCCTACCTCACATGAGAATAAAACAGGGAGTAAAGCCGCTGGTCACGGGTGGCTGACAGTTTACATCGCTTTCCCACTAGGTACTAATGAGTACAGTGTCATCACTGGTTGCCCGAGAACGCAATTATATTATGAAGAGGCGCTTTATGTAGTTTGGTCGAGCTGATGTCCACCTAAAGAGTACGCATGGAGATCTCAGAATAATTAACTATAGGTTTGAATGGCTGCATGCATTCGGAAAAGTCAGGTTATTCGTGATGATAATTATTGTGATTAATAATTCTTGCGTTAGCATTGTTAGGCCTACAAAACCTTTTTTTTTTTGGTATTTGAAATGTAATTTTTCTAATGATAATCATACTAGGCCAAGTAATTAAATTTTGGTAAAGCCCTTTATAATGGATACAACCAAAAATTATGTACATTATGTAGGCCTGGCATTCCCGCTAGGGACATACTGTGTGCCGTGTAATCGCTGCTTTCCTGGGGACGCATTTGTTATGATGTTCACCTAGCACTCAAGAGCCTTATAACTTCAATTCATTCTTAGGTCTATATACACAGAGGAAAAAAAAAACAAAGACATAGGCAATACATTATTATATTCAACAATATTGAGTAGGCCTGGTTGGATACGTAGTATCGAATATGTGCAGCATCGGTCATTTGGTAGTGACACCAACATAGGATGGATGAGATAATTAAGGGTTTCGTTTTATGACACCATTAAAAGATCAGGACCGAACACCCGAAAAACGAAGACCCATATTTTTTTTTCTCCCAGTCGTAATGAAATAATAAAATAGGTACTTGGCAACTGTTTTATGATGATTTTGTAAATACTTTTAATAAGATAATCGAGAAATAATTGGAGGTCTTCGTTTTTCGGGTCTTCGGTCTTCTTTTTGTAGGTGACCCATATAGGGTGTCTATAAAACGGAGACCCTTGAAAATTTCACAAACTGACGCCCAAAAAAATTCGTAATTTTGATTTTGTAACAGCCTGGCGTATTATCATCAAAATGAAAGAGAAAAAATAGGGGTCTTCGTTTTGGGGTTTTCGGTCTTCGTTTTATAGACGTCCGGCTTTTAGTATTATTTAATTGAAAGCTAGTTGGGATAAGCGTAATTTGTCCGATCTGCTACATGACTATGCCTAATTGGTAGGTTAGCATGCCTTTTTTATGCCAGGACCAGCACGGTATTTTGTTGGGTGGGGGGGGGGGCGTTCGTCCGAACCCCTTAACCACCCCTCCCCCTGGATCAGCCACTGATATGTAACGGGCTTTCCGGAGCATCAATCAAATTTATAAACGTATCAATCAGGATTGGGAAAAGAGCCAGGATTACCCGCATGTCAACAAACACAAAAATATGTATTGTGTAGCTTACGCATAGTTTTACCGCGCGGAACGATTATTTTGTGAGAGTACCTCTGTTGGAGGCATGTGATAATATAGGTCTTAATTTTTTAAATAAAAGAAATAAATATAGGAATCATGAAAATGATGTTTTCGAGTGAATGCGACGCCGTCACTTCGTCAATAATAATGCGCAGTCATGATAACCGTCAAAAGATCACCCTGCCGTCACCATGGCAACCAATAACGTAAATGTCTTCTGGGTCACGTATTACTATCATCTCATTATTGCCATTAGATCTACGATATGGTGGCATCGCCCCTACAGGTAATCGAAACACAAATAATGAAATTCTAGCAGAATAAAACGGTCTCTGGTGGATAGACGACAAAAGTAGGCCTATAGAAGAGCACGTAAAGCGTAATTATAAATTAGGAACGTCATTACGGCGATACATGCTCACCTAATGTTCAAAGGGAAAATTCACACCTATACTAATGACGACGAATGAACGTGGTTCAAGCCCCACTATAACTGTGATGACCATCGTGTTTTAGGCCTAATATTTTGGTACAGACATTATAGGCTTACAGTATTTTAAGTGATCTGAAGTAATAATATCGCAGTGATGGAATTCACAGTGTTTGTGGCATGCGATTTCTTAACAGCGTTTATATCTGAGATGAGATGTACGAACAGCGTCACAGAACCCCTCACAAGGAGCATGTCAGTAGGCCTACGGTTTAAATACAAGGTGCATGGAAATGTTATATGACTATTGATATAATTATTCTTCATATTTGGTCTAGGCCTATATAAATCAATGCATACATGCATTAATGTATACATTAATACACTTATAATTCATTATGTCTCTTTGAAGTGAAGTTGATTTTTTCATGTCATCCGTTTTTGCTTTTGCATTTTCTCTTCTAGATTCGCAGCTAAAGTTGTTCGAAACACAATAGGACTAAGGGCGTAGAGAAAGCACAACGTTGCCCTTGAATCGTCATGGCGATTTGAATGGTAAAATCCCAATAATCAGCTTGTTTCATACATCTTATCAGATAACGTGTCGAACTCGGAAGAAAAATGTCAAAATGAAATTAATTTATTAGTGCAGAAGATCGAAGACCCGGAAATGCGATAGAATAAGAGAAAACATAAGAAGCTACTGATTTCGCAAAGGGACACGGAAAGGTTATGAGCTGAATAATCGAATGTACAATTGCAAACAAGGGCAGGAAACCATTAGGCCTATACGATTATTGATTAGTCCTAGTACATGGTGACCTATTTGATAACGAAGTTTATTGCATAGCCCGGGAAAGGAAGCAGGCCTGTAATTATATCTCGAAATAATGACCAAGAATGTATTGATTACATAAAAACCGGTTATTAAAACCATGCCAATAATAAGGGCGGATGAGTTAACGAAAAGTAATGCTTGCGGTTGTATTGTACGGACATCAGGCCAGACGACGACTGCTGGAAGTGAAGTGGAGTTGACGAAATGAAATTATTTTGGAAATATTGCGCTGCGTTATCGGCATGTATAATTTTGTTTACATTCCTTTTTAATAACGAGCGTTTCTCAATAGAGCGCGTGGGCAATGATGACGTTCATCTGGTTTTAACACTTGGAAAATACGCTGGCTCTCATGACGAATACGAACGACTGATTGCAACACGCGCGGACGGCGATGCGTCGCGATCGACGTTTGATATCATCCAGATTGCGCACCAGATGGAGATAGGTCGTCAATACAGGACTACGGGAAAACCGAGCGTAAAACACATCGACGACAGCGCGTTCCGAATTTTGAATAACTCTCGTATAAATATTTCACAGAAGGTTAAAAGGGAGATTAACCGATCGTCGGCGATTCGGAAACTTGAAAACATTGTTATTCTCGATGAATATGGTTTGATACCATCACAACCAAGTCAGCAACTGCCAAATGATACCAATTTGAACATTAAAAATAAACATTCCTTCTCTAGACCCAACGATGCAATAAAGCTAATTCCGAATGAAAAAAGAGAGTGCTTCAAAAAAATACTTCTCTGGGAAGACCTACAAGGCGTGAATGCTCCTCAGGTTGCAGGAACTTTCTTTTGTCCTGAGATACCATGTAAAGTTAAAGTGAGCTACAGTAACGGCTCTATAGACAAAATCGCCGAAGCTGACGCGGTCATCTTACATCACAGGTCAAAGAAAGATCTACTGAAAATGATAACCAAACGTAAAGTGGGTCAAAAATGGATATTGGCAACAAGAGAAAGCCCCCTGCAGTCATCAATAGAACCTCCAGACAACCTGCGGTCTGTGTATGACTGGATAATGACGTACAGACAAGGAGCCGATTTTAGCCTAGCGTGGGGTTATTTCGACCGTGGTGTTCCGCAGTGGAAAGAAGGAGTTGATAAAAATTGGGCCAGCGGTAAAAATAGGTTCCTAGCGTGGAACAAATCAAACTGTACTGACACACCCTCTGCTTACAAAGGTTTTGTTTCCCGGTTAAATAAATATATACCTGTTAGTATACCACAGAATTGTCGATCAACTAATTGTAATTATTACTCCAGCGAATGCAAACAGAGTATACGACAATTTAAGTTCGTATTAGCGTTGGAAAACAGTGAATGTAAAGATTATATAACGGAGAGTTTTTGGGAAATGTCGCTGAAAAACGATGTCATTCCTATTGTTTATGGTCCACCGAAAAAGGATTATGAACGTTTAGCGCCTCCACATAGTTTTATTCACATTGACGACTTTACAAAAGTAGCTGACTTAGCAAAATATCTTAAAAAACTAGACAATAACGACACACTTTATAATGAATATTTTCTATGGAAAAAGGAAGGAAAAATTGTGAGCACAAAGCAATCTTGGGAATTCAACTCGAGAGATAAAATGTGCGAGGTAGCAAGAAAACTTCGAAAAATTGATGTGCATCCGGGTTCTAGCCAATCGCGTATTTACGAGAATATCATTGGTCCATGGTGGAAAGGCTCGTGCGCAAAACGAAAAATGCCAAGTTAACATTATATTAATGTCTAGGATATATCCACCTGTGCCTGTTAAAATGGAAATGTCCAGAGTTCGCCATTGTTTTAAAGACGTACTTTGTCGACACTACTATATGAAGAACACGTGACTACTCGGCATCTACCAAACGTAATCCGCTTCGTTGAATAAACCATTAGGCCTAAGGCATGTTATTTATATTGAATTAAATGTTATACTGTAGAGGAAAACATTTCCACCAACTATCTTCATTGAGTAGGCCTATGCAAAATCATGAACTTGATACCAATATCAGTACAACTTAAGCTTCACCTCTCGCCATGGGCAGCTTGCAACCTCCGACAGTGAAGTTGTCGCGTATCAACTAGGTCGAATCCATTCCTAGCATGGGGTATCTGGCGCACATTTTCTATAGTATCATTCACGGGCGTTAACATTGTTCGGAACTTTCCTCATAATTGAAATTAAGTGTTGAGATTAAGGGGTTAATTTCAGGACCAAATTGTAATAAAAATGCCAGTATTACATTTTTGTACAACAAACAAGCGGGTGGCGAATTTGTAACATGTTGATTGAATGTTGAACTTTAGGAAATACCAGTCAACAATAAAAATGATTTTTATATATTAACGAGAGCGATTTATTTGTAGTTCCCCTACTGGGCAAAGACCTTACAATCCTGTCAAGTCTATCAAGGTTCCTGTTTCTTGCCATTCTGTGCCACTGTTCCAGTATTAAACATATTCTATAATCTACATATCAGTTTCGTTTCTTTAGAAGCCGTGGGGAGTGAGTTTGTTTTAATTTAAATACTTGTCTTGATGTTCCGAAGTTTGGATCAAGGACTACAATATAAGGGAGGAGACGAATCCTAACGATAAGACAAAATTACAATAACCAGCACAAATATATCAGTGATATACAACCTATTATTTTATTAATTGAATAATAATAATAATAATAATAATAATAATAATAATAATAATAATAATAATAATAATTCCTAAGTTATTTTCAATAGACAAATAGTGTTGCATAAACTAGGAAAGAATTACAATTTTATATAGGCCTACTGTATGTATTATCTGATAATGATTCTTATACTGACATGAAAATAAATAAAATAAAGTGAAATTGAAATAGATGTGTTATCTACCTTTAGCATTGTGTGGGTATTTTTGTTAAAACTATGCTCCGGAGGGGAAAAAATAAAATGGACAGAAAGGGTGATTAACGGAAACTTGGGAACGGTTAATGAAATACTGATTTTGAATATTACAAAATGAAGAGGGGGGAGGGGACGGGGGAAAATCGTAGCCACCAAATTCCACCTTTTTCTTCTAGTCTTTAAATGTTCAAAAGTTTATATCTTATTAACCGTTCCGAATTTTTCCGTCAATAACCTTTTTTTATTCACCCCCAGTTGTACAACAAATCTACAAATTTGCTTCCTTCAGAACATGGCTTTAATTTCAAATACAGATATAATAATATATAAATAATGAATTACTGTAGGGTTATCGCCATCCATTGATTTAAGATATGTATTGATTGAGCAGTCCTATCATATTAGCTCTGAAGTATTCTTTAGTACTAGTTTACAAAATTTGATATGTATACAATTCAATCCATTATTCAGGAGCCTTGAATTTAAGACTGCATAAAGCTCCATCCACGGTTCCTAATAACTGGTGATCTTGCTGATTCATGTTGTTATTGTTGGTAGTTGAATCACTTACTCTGTCACTCTCACGAAGTAAATCAGTAAATTTTCTGCCAAGACTGGTGTTAATATGGTATAATTTATAATTAGAAACATCCATGAATATTGACTATGAGAAAATCGTGATATTGTGCGAGTCTAAGAACCTTTGTACCGTATTTCTTCGGCTTCATCATTACCTACCATATGTTGTACAGAAGATGACGTCGAATTATTTTCAGCAGGGAGTTGTTTTCAGTAGGTTGTCAAAAATGATAGTGTGCATTTTGGTTTTCTGGAACCAACTTTAAACTCTGTTTTACCAACCAATCGTACTGTGTATTGCATTAGTGAACTCTTTTCAAGAACTATTTCTCTTCTATAATAGCCAAAGTGAGTTGCACGTGTTTATGTTTTAATATAAAAATATAAATAATAATATAGACCTAACCCATTCAGTTTATTACGGCTCTGATGTATTTTAGCTTACACAAATTTATGTTTGTATCTGAATATTATTGGACTTATCTTCCTCCTAGACGGTTGAATATTATATCCACACAGTTCCTAGTCAAAATGTTCAGTGCAGCTCAAGGACGCGTCGTATATCTGTTGGTATCGTTTAGCTTACAAAAACTTATACAGTATCTTGTTATTGGACTTGTCTTCCTCTTGGTTGTTGAATATTAAATCTACATACAGGTATCAGTGAAGAAAATGATCGGTAGAGCTCAGGAAATCATATATCTGAAGAATATACTACAGTAATTCAAACCTCGGTGTCGGCTTACCATGGCCTAGAAGGTAATAGGTAATCATCCAGGTATAGGAACATATACCGGTACTGTACTGTATATCAATTTTGTAAAAAGTAGTATAATGAATATTTCTAAGGCCTCATATAGATAATTCTGATTGTGCACAAAAACTTAAAGGCAGTTTCCAAATAGAGTCCGTTTCCAAAATACATTGGGATAAAACAAAACTGTAATAATATAATAAACTGTGTAACTGGGTAGTGTAACCCACGCTGGTATTAAAATCCTAAATGTGTATGGATGTGTGTATTTAGATTTACTTATGTTATGTATATTGGACGTAAGACATAGTCTTTTATGTCCAGTTCAAAATTTGCCAATCTTATGGTACGGTATTTTATCGAGCCAGGAATGGCAACACAGTTATGAAGAAAATTCAAGCTTTAAGAAACAACGATTACGGAAGAAAACACTTCGCAAACAAGGTCTCCCTCTAATTAAAGACCCCTCCAATTAAAGACCACCTCCTATTAAAGACCACTTTTCTGAAGACCGAAACTAACAAAATTAATGTCTTTTATCTTTATAAAAACAAAAAACATGCTAAAGACCATGAATACCCTGTCACCCAAAAATAATGTTTAAATGGAGGAAGAACTGTATTTTAACAATAAATAAATGGTCACAAGTTTCAGATACAGAATGCTATAGACAGCACTGTCATAATAAAGCGGTACGTTCTAGTCACCCGTCCTACTTACTCGCCTTGCTTACTATACTCCATCTCGCCGTCTCCGTTAATCTTCTCGAAATCTCCTGTTTCCAAATATTCTACAAAAACCTATGGTCAATCCTCATTCTCATTTGCTTCTGCTTCTCCTTGGAAACAGCTTCCAGTTACTATAACTACTTCTTATACTCTCTGCAACTTTAAATCGCAACTTAAGACCTTTTTGTTTTCCAAATTACACTTGCATAGTGTGCCTTTAATCTCTTTTGGAATTGGCGCCTTATAAATTCCGGATATTATTACTATTATTAATTATTATTAATAATAACTTAAAATTGTAATAGTAACTTGAAAAGTGTTGTGTGTTGTGATCAGAATGTGTAGTTTATGCCATTTGTCATTCTATATGTAGCTATTCAATTTATGAATGCAAGAACAGTGTAATTATACTCGATATTGTTTCTTAATAGTTTCCAATTCTGCCAGCAGCATTGTTTCCGTGTAACTGGCGTAACATAGATGCATCTCGAACTACAATTATTTGTTGCTCACAAAACAAAGAGACGCCCAAGACCAATCAATTTTGGAACTTTATTCATCATGCTATACGTTTTGAAATCAAATTTCACGCTCCCTCTCGTTGGATTGAGTATATGCAAAATAAATATGGTCTTTAATTGGAGGGAGACCTGTTCTTGGATTGTATAATTATAAGTTACTGTCAATTTAACATGTGAAAAAAAAAGCCAATTAGCGAGCGTATAATGATACCTACATTCTTTGTAGATCCACACAATCAACTTAATTTTTGTTCTTCCAAATCAAAGATTATATTTCTGTCTGTGAAACAGAAGAAAGTTATTGCATCATTTTAACAGTATTTAAAATGTTTTTCCCATACTTCATAACAGACGGTATGGCTTTAAGAATAAATCAGGTTATGTTCCTATTGTGTTATTCATGCTGTTAATTCTGATAACGAGATGGTGGCTTCGGTTCTAGGTTCATTCCAGGTTTTTTCACACGGACTCAATTAAGCAAACAATTGAAGAAACGTCTTGTAGGCCTACATTATTAAATAGGCCTATATTATAATAGTTATATCGCTAATTACTGTTGACCTTATCATCACAGCTGATGGTACAACGCTACCACCCGAGGGTTACAACCACCACCCAATGGCCCAACGGAAACAGGTGTGAAAGTATAAATAGGCCTAACTAAAAACAGGTCTCCATCATTAATGAATCTCGGCGACAACGGAAAATGGATGGATAATAATCAGAATTGGCCTAAATACAGGAATAGTTTTAATTCCTGAGTTTTTCCCTCTTTTAAAATTTAGATGCAATGGAACGTGAGCCCACTTTGAACTGAATTTTTAGCACTCCAGACATTAAAGTACAATAAATGTTCGTTCATTTGTTTCGATGCAAGTTGTTCTGGATGTAACCCATTTTGTCTTCGTCACGTTGTTAGATGCCACCCTCCCTAAACATCAGACACCCAGAATATTGAACATGTCTTGCTTAAGTTAAGTTTTCCTTTATGTTTGGCTGTTTTTATTTTCTTTTCAATTACTATTTAGAACGAATTTGTCAGAAACCTACAGTACTACCAAAATTTGTGGTCGGCAATGTAACGTCTTTATTGAATTTTGTCATATCAATAAGTACAAAGCAGTTTGCCTAATAATAGTATATGTGAATATTACACATGATATTATTGTGTATGCCTACCATGAAGAGTGATGGAAAAACTAATTAATGATCTGTTCGCATGTAATTTATATCTAAACTTCGTGCACACTGATTCTAAAAGATGCATTGTCGCGGCACTTGTGGCGAAACGACAGGAGTAAAAGTGATACCATGTTAATAATATTTCGAATATTCCTTTGGCGCATAGAGTAATGGAGTAACCAAGGGCCTATGTACCAAACTGAGTATAAAGTACTGCATTCAATAAATGCATTTATCTAAATAGTTTTAAAATAATATAATACAATATTACGTTGATCGTTTATATTATCGTATACATCAAGAGCAGATGCACCTTTTTAAAAATGTTCCCAGTACCTAAAATTCGATAAACGTACTGTACTTCAATTAAAAATTTCCTCTGGATGAAACGCCACCTGTGCAAAATATTTCTGGTCATGAAAAACCACTGCTTTACTATCGTAGCGAAAGGATCTGAAAATAACAAAAGTGAAGTTCGTTACTGGCTTATTGTATATCACAAATTATTTACTATACACAATAGCAAAATGTCCAAATGGTTTCTTTTGCTCAACAAAATTAGGTAGGTCAACAAAAGGTAGATTAATTAGAGCAAAGGGACTAAAGAATGATTGTTGATTAATTTACTAATAAAAATGTGTTTAAATTATCAAATACTGTATACATATACATTATATACATATACATTATATACCAATACATTATATACCTATACATTACATATATACATATATATATATATATATATATATATATATTTATTAAACAAATACAAAAATAAAATAGAATATAAATCTTCATACTTCTTTCTCTATTATCTTTTTCTTGGCCATCAGCTGTCTCGCCCTTTCCTGAAAAAAAAAAAAAAAAAAAAAAAAAAAAAACATTATCATAAATGACTAAACAAGTACTGGACAAAGAAAACATGAAACAGACTAGTGGGCTAGTAGGCTATTGCACTCTATCATAAATAACAAGTTGCAACGTAGGCTCAAAAGATTATATCTGAGTGGTCTTGTATATTGAAAGCAGTACTGTACCTTATTTCCTGATTGCAATACTTGCTTCGCTTGAGATTCGTACCTAGTTATTAACTGTTGCAGATTTCGCATGTAGTCTAATAAAATTACAGAAAGGTAAAATATCAAAAAACGTCACATTTATCAGCGTTTAAAGATCGCGGTTCTCTTGTAACCAATGGTAGGCCTACTTGTTGGCCAACATTTAAGTAACTAAACGCAGACATCATTTGCATTTTAAAGAGTTGGCTTTCAATAGGCTATAATGTAGCGCGCACTATAATCTATGTATACGCGTAGCCTTGCTGGCAAAAAAAGTTTTATGTTCGCGTGTAAACATGTGACATAACTGAGCTGCTTAAAACGGTCGACGCCGTTCAATTAATATTTCATTAATTACACTCGGCCAGCAAGCAATTTGGTAGCACTGACAACTTAAGGTCAAATTATTGGTATTTTATACACGTTCAAATTTAATAAATTGCAGTATAATTTCCCAAGTGGTGTTTGCAAATGTCAAAAAACTGTTCTGAACCAGAAAATGTAAACATCACATAGTGCAAGATATTATAAACTTATCATTATTTAACTCTGTGGTTTGGGTATATAATGCGTTTATTAAGATGTGTTCAGAAGCGACTGGTGAAAAACAATCTACATACAAAAGAACATTTTGCAAGCGCATGAAGATGTCAGGTTTTGTAAGTAAATGATTGTTGACAAATATCACATACTGAAAAGCTATCACGTGTTAAGTAGGTGTTTCAGAGAATGATTGTCCGTGACATCGCTGACAGAACATCTTAAATTGTGCCACCGGGACACAGGCAGCAACAGTGAAGGTTATTAATAGTTTTCACAACTATAAAATGTTCAGCATGCTTTGCTCATAGAAAGGTAACCTTTCTGTCATGATCGAATACTATGATGTATACCTACTGGGCTTGGAATGCAGAGAAAGTACCAAAATGATAGCAACAAAGACAATTAGGCCTAAAAAATAATTATCATATTGTAAGTGATTTTCGCGTAATAAATGAAAACTTTTAAGTGTCTTGAATTTAACCAAGCACAGTTCTGATGCACCATCAACAAAAAGCCCGAGTGACCACTCATAGTGTGTTATAATTTCGTAAAAAATTGTAAATTCGGATGCACTGCCTTTGTGTGCCACCGACCCTAAAGTGTTATTCAAATTGAGTGATTGATTGATTGATAAACACAGGTGTAGTAACA